CCTGTTAGAAAAATGACTAAGAAAGCTAAGCTTGAACATCACAACCTTTTCCCTTGAGAGGCTAGTTTTCTACCTGCAGGGATCTTTTGTCCTTGAAGTCTGCAAGCAGGGTTGGGTTAGGTTCTTCTCTCAATGAATGAATGTTCCATTGTTGCCCCAACCTTTTCTTGTAACCTTCAAATGGGGGAGAAAGCCTTCACTGAACTGTAGCATCACAAGTGGGAAATACAGTAGCTATTCTTGGCAGGGTCAGAATTTTTTTTACAAATCCTGTTTTCAAAAAATCTCATTCAATTTTCTTTGGGCAGATAGAGAGGCCCAAAATGCCCCGTCTGGACTATAAGGGTCCAGAAGAGTGAGGCATATCACAGACCAGGGTTTTTTTCTCCTTGTGTATATCATAATTTTGCAGACGAGCAGAACAAACTCAAAATACAGTTTGCGCGGGACTTTGGCATTTGCTGTTGAGACAAGTTTCTAGCCCTTATGGATCCTTTCAGCAGCAGAGAAGTTTAGTGCCGTCCATTTCTGACTCCCCAGTGTGGTAGACGGATATCTATTCTCACATCCTTTTTGAACAAGTTAGCGCTCTGCTTTTACGTGCTGTTTAACAGCCCGACATTTCGGCATCTGAGGACCAGGAGCCGGAGAAACGAACTGTCGCGCTCCGAACATAGGCTGATCAAAGGCGAGGACAGGAACTGGCAGGACCAGTTGCCATAGCAACATTCAGGTAGCCCGGATTCTTCCTTCCCTCTCGCATGGACTGACTCCACCTGGGTCGGAGGGCATCTCGTGGCCCACCTGTTCCCTAGCTGTCAGGTACTAGAAAGGATATCAAAACCAACTCACGGCTGCCTGCTGCTTTAATTTCCTCTGATCCAGGAGGCAGCTTGAAATGAGGACAAGGGCTCCAGGCAGATTTTGTAGCCTTCGGTGGCCAAAGGTAGAAAAGACTATGCACCTGGAAAGCATAAGCCATGACCGCCGATCGCTTGGCCCTCCTGTGCAGCAAAGGAAAAAAGAAACAGATGCAAATGGTTTCATCCTGTTTTCCTCATCTGTCGTCACAAATTCTTTCTCTCTTCCAAGGGCAGGCGACACAAATAAGGCCCTAACCTCCTGTACTGTGTTAATCGCCATTCCACGTTACATTGAGTTATATCCATAGTTCTGGGGCCCCTGCTTCATATCAGATCTAGGAAACTCTCTAAGGTGATTGTCCTTCTATGTATAGGTGTCACTTTGCTGAGCTATATAGTCAGGTAGTAGCTTTTCTAGTGCTTGCAAAGTAATTTTCAAAATGCAGTTAGTTACAGTTTTAATTCCAAGTTCCTTTGAGTAATTCATTACCATTATAGTTGTAATTTTAAAGATTACTTTTCGGTTCCTAATTTGTTAGAAGTAACTGACATAACGCCATGCGATACTTTTAATCAACTCGTTTGTTAGTTAGTTAACAGCTATAACTAATTACTTCCAGGCTCTTAGGAAGGGGGCGCAGCTGACATGGCAGCCAAAGATGATAAACATTGCTCCTAGTCATTGCACTGGATCAGGGGAGACCTCCTAATTATAACGAGAGTCGTTTTGTGGACATCCATTCCTCCGTGGAGGTTGCCAACTCAGAATCGGCGGTGATGGTGAATCTGCTCTGGGCTTTGGCTTGAAATTTACAGGGATTATCCAAGCTGCCCAACCCTACCCCCTAATGAGGTTTTATCAGCTCGGATCGCTCGTGTGAAGTTCAGAATAAAACCCAGCGTGAATTCACCGCAGCCACAACATCAGGCATTCTCTCCCACTGGCTCATCCCATCTCCATTCTTCTCAATATTGCCAGAACCGAGTATTTTATCGGGCCCCCTTCCCACCTCTCCTCATGCTTTAATCTAAATAATGAGCAAGATTTTCTCAGATAAACGACTATGGCAGGCTCCACTCTTCTTTGCGGCTAGCAACTGGAAATCACAAACCTACAAGGCCCTCATTCAAAAATCATCCGTGAAGTTGGTTCCCTCTTGTGCGGCTGGCGGCGGCGAACAGCCAGAAGCGATGGAGGTGAAATCCTTCAGCTCCGAAAACTTTTGGCAGGGACCCAGCGCAGCTGTCAAAATGACACTCCTCCAGAGAGAGAGAGGAGGCTGGCAGAGACAAAAGGAAACACAGCAATCTTTTTAGCTGATGGGCATCAGGGTGGAGCAGGTGTGCCACTCTACCGAGCCCTTTTTTGGGTTGCAAAGTGGGGCTCCCCGGGGCCCCTCGGCCAGATGCTTTGCTTATTGAAATGAAGTCTTGAGTCTCATGCAGAGACATCAGCACAGAGAGGCGCTTTCAAGACCTATATCTGTGCATTGATGTTTGTTATGATTCCAAGTGGGACATGTACGAAATATTGCAGGGTGGAGTCCTCCTCTTCAGAGTGCCGCCCGCCCGCCCTATTTTCAAGGATACGCCATTCCCTTTCCCGCTCCTGTTTTCTGTATCCTCCTCCTCCTCTCTCTTACCAACTTGCATCTCTTTTGTGGCCACATTCCCGCTGGGCACTTTCTGGGAATGGAGGGTTCGTGACAACAAAGACCTAGAAATGTGCTCACACCATCAGTCCGCCGTCGTGAAATTATGATGCCGATAGTGATTATGTTTCCCATCAGCAACCTGGTACTCGGATCGTTAGGAACAGAATGAAGCTGAAGAGGGCAACCAGCAAATAGCTTGGAAAGTTGTGGAGAGGGTGACCCTGTATCCATTTCATCATCTTTCTCAAGGGCAAGATTTGGGAATGTGGGATTTTCAAGGGGGGGGGAATCACCCAGATAGCAGTGTCCTAAATCCTCCTTAAAACCAGGGAGGGTGGCATCATAGAGTTTTGCTCATGGCTGTGCCTGAAAAGCAGGTGGTTTGATTTCATGAAGATATATTTCCGGTCTGCATCCATGAACATATCTGTCTCATCAACAGGACAAAAACTTGTCCTCAGCTCTGCAGACGACAGGAGTGAGATTTTCCGTGAGCTTTAAGGGTAAATGATAAGAGCAGTTCAACCAGGTAACCATGTCCCCTGGAATGGGCTGGCCTCTCCCCTTCATGCAAGCCCTCGCAGGACAGCCCCGGGTCGGAGGTGCTCCCCTGCTTTATCTCCTGCCTGTAGGAGGATGTTTGAAATGATTGCCAGTCAAGGGTCCCTACTGGCCACCCGGTAGGATTCTTTGGTCTCGGAGGAAAGATCTTGACATCAATAAACCCTCTGTGCGCAAAAGTCTAGGGGAGAATTAAGGATGCCTTAGACAAGAGGCGGGCAAAATGTGGCCCCATTAACTTGTTCCTTCTCTGAACTCCCCCAATTTTAAAAAAAAGTATTTTTTAAAATACCTCTTCTAGGGTTCGCCAGGTTTTGAGAATGAGGGTAGAGTGGATGAGTCTCTCTTTTGGCAGATGCCGGCCACGGCCTGTTGTAGGTGTTGACCACCTAAGTTGTAGAGGGATCGCTGTACTTTCTCACGCTAGGTCCTGTCTCATCATCCCACCATTAAGCCAAACTTCTGGAGGCCCACATTGCAAATCCTTGTGAGGTGGGGAGAGGGCGAAAGCCGCCATCTTGGGCGAAGTGTGTTTCCATTCGCGTCTGGTCTTGGTGTTTGCCTGAACCCATTGGACTCAGGGTTGGCATTCAGGCCTGAGCGCTGAAGCTTTGAAATGGTTCCTAACGGGAAGAGGCGATCCATGCTGGGAACTCAACGCAAGAATGGGCAATACCTTTATTGGTCCCTAATAAAAATGCCTGTGCCCCTTTGTTTTGAGAACTGGCATGTAAGCAACTTCCTGCCTCGTTTAACACAAAGGGACCCGGCGAAAAGTCATCTTGTCAAAACCTTTACCTCTAAGAATAATTGGCCGCAAATATTTGGACTTCTGCTACCTGCTTGGAAGAAGCGGGATTTGCTCGTGAAAGCTCAGCTCGCACAGTGTATGGTTTTTTTTAAAATTAGTGGCTTATAAAGGTATCGCCTGTTCTTGCATTTGTGTTTTGTGATGGCCACATGGTTCACCCCTTTTATTTCAATGGAACGCAGAGGACTCGGAACGGCGTTCCGCTTTGGCACTCCTCTGTGCTCTGGGAAGCAAGACTGTTTGTCCATGGCCGTCGCTTGCCTGCCCTGGAGACACCTTGGTTGACATCCTCAAGGCCTCGCTGGCATTCAAGCACTCTCCAGCGTGTTTTTTGCAGTACTGTAATTGGAAAGTGTATTCTCAGGCTCTGCATTTGGATATAGTGATTGGAGGCAAATGAGGACAGTGGAGTTGCCAGAATGGACTGGGCCATTTCCTCTCTCTTCTCCCTACTCACGGAACAGGGCCTGCAGTCCACGTTTGTTTTTAACTATAGTGATTGGAGGCAAATGAGGACAGTGGCGTTGCCAGAATGGATTGGGCCATTTCTTCTCCCTTGCTCACTGAACAGGGCCCGCAGTCCACGTTTGTTTTTAACCCCTGAAGCGGGACAGTGGCTAGTACTTGCCCACTGAATCTCTTAGCCAGCAAGGAGATGGGTTGTCCCCTCCCCACCCCACCGATGTCAGCATTTGTGTCCTTTGTTGGCTCACTTTGTGTCTCACGTTCAGCTCCTCCGGAGAGTAAACCGGCTCGTGGCTCTGGCAAAAAGCATGGGAAGAAGCCAGGTAATTTCTATGCGGTTCGTATTTGCTAAGGGGGTTCATGCCGCTGTCTTAGCACCCTCTTTGTCTGCTAATTTCTGCTCCTAGTGGTGAATCTAGAGTAGACCCAGCAAACTGGATAGGAAAATGTCCTGTGCAACCCGCCCCTTTATTTTTAGGCTTTGGCCATCATAGTCTTCTTTAGATGGCAGTGGATATGGTTTGCTTTGTTGGTGATGTTTCTGTTGCCGTTTGTTTCAAGATGCTTTCCTGTAGTTTACGAGGCATCTCTTGTTGTGTGTGAAATGGGAACCAGGGAAATGCAGTGTCTTTTAATCTTCCCAAGCTTCTCCCAAGGTCTCCAAACTCATCCGGCTCAAATCTGGCTCCGTTCCGTTGGCACCTATTGAAACGTTTAAAGGTAAGAGGAGGAAGAGGGTGTAAGAAAAGGGTAGCCACGCAAATTGCAGAACAGGGAGCCTGTGAAATTTCAAATCAGTAGGAAGCACACGAGGCTGAAGTCAGCAGAGTGTTCTGGGAGTAAGAGCCCCAATACATGGAGTAGATGACACATGTCCATCTCGTGCATCTGTAGAGAGGGGAAAGTTGACCCCATAGATCTCCTGGGGGGGGCTGTTCCATCATCTGTGTTGCATGCCCACGCTTCCTTCGTGCTGGTGCGGTTTCTCCCTTCTGCTTCTTTCATGCCGACCCTGACAAAGTTCGAAGAGCAGGTCAAAGCGAACGCTTTACCTTGCACGCTTCGGTTGCATGTCAAGAATCCTGCATGGTGTTTGCCATTCTTGCTCCACTCTGAGAAGGGAGCCTGCTGACCCCCAGCCCTTTCACCCAGTCTGCCCGCTGGAGGTTCGTGAAACACACGAGGTACAGACTCTACAGTGAGGCTGCAAGAGGGGAGATTGTAACATGACTTGCGAGGAACTGCTCAAAGTTATTCCTTGGCTTCCTAGAAGAACTGCAATACTAAGTGCCCCAATTTTTTATTTGAAGACTCTGCTGTCTTAGGTCCACCTGCAGGCTGAGAAAAGGGATTGTAGCTATAAAGACGGCCCTCTTCTGTCCATGTGCCATCTCCCAAGTGATGCAGTAATTTTTTATTTGAAGACTCTGCTGTCTTAAGTCCACCTGAGAAAAGGGATTGTAGCTATAAAGACGGCCCTCTTCTGTCCATGTGCCATCTCCCAAGTGATGCAGTCAAGCAAGGAAGAATTGGGAGTTCATTTTAGAGTTCACAGTTCAGTCCCTAGAAAGAACTAAGCCCCTTATCCCATCTTTCCAGTATATGCTTACTAGACAGCTAAGCATGCAAGAAATATTACCAACCAGCACCTGCAACAAAATGTTATGGTGTGCCATGCTTGTCTTAGGGGTGGCTGCCATGCCCTTTTTGGGGGCACAAAAATAGACATAGCACTTTTTTCCCTGCCCCAAACATGCAGCTGGCCTACAAATAGGTTCAGCACCTTGGAGAGTGCTGGTAACGTTCTGATTAAACCTTGGAACGGATTAATCATCTGCATGAAAATCAGTCCTCGTTTTCCACGGCATCACTGTAGTCGAGAGTGTGTCCAGTTAGCCTACAGGCTATACACATACTGTACATTTAAACCTTGGAACGGATTAATCATCTGCACGAAAATCAGTCCCCGTTTTCCAAGGCATCACTGTAGTCACGAGTGTGTCCGGTTATCCTACAGGAGGGCACCAGTATGAAATAAGTGCACCCGGCATATAAGACGACCCCCTCACTTGGAGGCGTTTTTCAGGGCAAAAAAGTAGTCTTATACACCAGCAAATAGGGTACCTTACGAGAAAAAGAGGGACTCCCCATTGTGACTCTTGAGGAAACCACACAATAGTAACAGAAGCTTAGCCTGTTCAACCGGTTGTCTTCTGGGTGGAGCTCTCATGACTTGGAAGCATGCCACCTGGTGGGTTCTGGTTGTTTTTGCGCCACACAACTCCTTCTAACACCATGGAATCCTAGTGTGGTCTCGTGCGGTGTCAGTGCCAGACAGGCAATCAACGGCGATGCCTCCCTCTTCCCTCCACCTCTCTTCCTCCTCCTGTGCGGTGTCAGTGCCAGACAGGCAATCAAAGGCAATCCTCTTCCCTCCACCTCTCTTCCTCCTCCCGCAGACTGCGAATGCTACGGCCACTCCAACCGGTGCAGCTTCATCGACTTCCTGAACCTGGTGACTTGCATCAGCTGCAAGCACAACACGAGGGGGCAGCACTGCCAGCACTGCCGGCTGGGCTACTACCGCAACAGCTCCGCAGAACTGGACGACGAGAATGTATGTATAGGTGAGTCGGGAAGCTGCCGAGGCCGTGGGTGGGACCGTGGGCCGTACGACGGCGGTCTCGGGCATGCTTACGAATGGTCGTAAAATGTCAACGAAGAGCTGTTTATATGCATCCTACGACCACTAAGATAATTTCCGCAAGATCTGCTTCTGATCTACTTACTGGGTGGGTGGGGAGATGCTACTCTAGGTTGACCCCATTCTCTCACTTGAGTCCCTGACAATGTGTTTTCGGGGAGGCATCGTGGCGGGCGGCTGCAGAAAGGGAATCCGTGACTGCAGCCTCTCCACCAGGAGAGTTCTACGCAGCACTCCCTCAAAGGGGGACCCCTGTTGATCCAAGAAAGATGCTGGGGCTCCGATCCATAAAGGGAGCCCAGCTCTGGGCTGTTCGCTGCAGCGCTTTGGGTCAAAGCATTGAACCATCAGCTTCTGACTGAGCCCTTGAAAGAATGGCGCTTGCCTGTCTTCCCTTGCATCTCAGCAAGGAATCCACGTGATCAATTCCCCACCTCTTTAAGGCTGTCCACAAATGACCTGGAATATTTGAAACATTTTTATCGCTCAGGGTGGGGAAGACATTTTGTTCAGTTTGTCATGGAACACAAGTGTAGTGGGATCTTGCTCTGTGGAACCAAAATAGACCAGAACACAGTTTACCCTTTTTTGATCCAAACCTTTCCGGGGAAGGCTCTAAATCTTGGGCCAACCGGTTGGTTGTTTCTCGCGCATGATGGACTGCTTTGAACACGGAGGCACCAACACTCCAGAAGAATCCTAAGCTCTGGTTTGGACTGACCTGTCTTGTGTTTTCTTTTTGTTTGTCCGCGGACGGGGTGAAGACTGTAACTGCAACCGAATTGGCTCCGTGGCCAACCGCTGTAACGACACCGGCTACTGCGAGTGCAAAGAAGGCGGGGTCACCGGGCCGAAATGTGACGAGTGTTTGTCCGGCTACTACTGGAGGCAGGGTTGCTCCCGTAAGTATGATGATTCCTCCGAAAGCGGGTAAGATGGAGAGGAGCAAAGCTGGCTCGCTTGAGGAGTGTGAGGAACCTCAGTGCGTGGTGGCAGCTGGGGCGGAAGTATTCGTTGACTGCTGAATCCACCCCCAGGCCTTAATTACAAGAGCCATCCAAGGCGCTGAGTCATAACCCCAATTAGAGTCAGCACCTGGGACAGCTCCTGTCAAGTTCTGAATAAAACCCCGACAGGGTTCACCACCACCCCTCTTGGCCATCAGAGAGACCAGCAGATGCAGCTGAATGGCAAGACTTAAATGAAGATAGGAAGTGGAGTCCTGGGCTGCTGTTCTTAGCACTGTGACACCCGTTTAGAGGAATCCCACTAATGGCCAAGATACAGCATTCAAAGTACTAATGATCTCTCTTTTGAAGCCATGGGACCTATCCTTTGGAGGTTGTTCCTCTCTCCCCATGCCCTGGTCCTTCAAGTCTACTTGGGGAGACTTTCTGCCTCTCCCATTGGGAGTGGTACCCAGTGAGGAGAGCGAGGAGAGGCCTCCCTCAGATGTACTCCCCAGTTGTGGAAAGCCTTCCCTTTGGAGACCTAATTAGCTCTGACCTTGCCTTTGCTTCGACACCAAGTTAAAAATCTGCTTGTTCAGCTGAGCATCCGTGACCCAGGTCAGGTCAGGGCTTGGCTTCCAATCTTTTGAGCTTGCCAGGGGTTTTTTGAGACGATGAAATGGCTGTCGTGTCATTTTAAGGCATTTTGTAGCGTCCGTGGAGACTTTCCCATTATCTTAAAGTAATTTTATGGATGGTACCCTGCCCTCGGATGCCCCGATAAGGCCGGATAAAGATATGTTAATAAGTAAATTAAAATGACTGCGACTTCTATTAAGATCAAGGGCAGATTGCCCTCTGACCGGCTTCCCTCCATTATTCCCCCTTTCCTTCTCTCCAGCCAACGTCTGCGATGACGAGCTTTTGATTTGCCAGAACGGAGGCACCTGCTACGAGAACCAGCGCTGCCTCTGCCCGCCCGGCTTCAAGGGGGTCCTCTGCGAGCAGTCGAAATGTCAAGGGGAGACCCAGGACTGCGACGCGGCCTCTGACCTGTGCCTCAGCCCGGTGGCCTTCCTGGTGAGCACCCTGGGGCTACAGATCCGGTTTTTGCTGAACCTCTGAAGCCCCAACAGAAGGAAGAGCTTAGCCCGAACACGGCAAGAAGTGGAATCGAGGGCGAGAGAAGAGGCGAAGGGACGGGAGTGGGTGAGCTCACCCCCCCCCACCAGCCGCTTTTCTTTGATCGCGCTTACAGGAAGAGCAGAAAGGTTTAAGGGACTGTCTTTCCGTCTCCTCCACCCTGTTTGGACCCCAGCTGGACAAACTGCACATAAGCAAAAGCAGGAGTAACTAGATGATCCGAAGCACCCGTTGGGACGGGGGGGGGGATAGCGAGGAGCAACTTGCCACAGCTTGTGTGTACGTGCGGAAAGAACTTGCATCGCTGACGCCGCCTGCCGTTTCCAGGGGCCCATCCACAATCCACAGGGATTCTGCCAAAAAACCCCACAAAAAACATGCCACAGATGCTCTGGCATTTAGTTGCTCAGCTATTCTACTTAAGACACTTTTTTTTCCTCCTAGGGAAAACAGCACTCCTAACCAAGACTGGCAGCTACAGAAGCCGGGGCGGGTTTGGGGCAGCCCTGGGAGACTCTAGCCGCTCTCGCAGCGTCGGCGGGCTCCCGCCCGGGGCCTCAAGTTATACCGTTGCCTACAAATCAAGTTGCTGAATTTATTAAGGTTTTTTGTACTTTTTTTCCAGTTTTTATTCTTTGGTTGTGAGTCTCTCGTTTCCTTTCCTTTCCTCGCACTCGAGACCAGGACTAAACAAGGCTGCTTCGTACCGCGCCAAAGTGTAACGTGTTATCCAGGCTTTGCCGTATAGTTTACGGTTCAAATACTTTTTTTTTTTGGTAGAGAATTATTTTTGTTTGGATTACAAATGCTCTAAAAAAAAGAGAAGATAAAACTAAAACGAAACACTGCAGCCTCTAGATATTTTACCATAAGCATTATGGTGTAATAATAATCCCACCACAGTAAAGCAACTTATTAATTGCTCCTCCTAGCCTCCTTTTAATCACCTCCCTCCTCGCCGTTGTGTGCTCAGTGGATCTCCTTTGGCTTTAAAAAGAAAAGAAAACCAGAATAACTTCACTATACTCTCTCGTACCAAAGAATCAAAAAGAGAAGCTGAGCATTTGTGGGTGATTGATACCGGTTTCTTTGGAGCAGTGAGTTTCGTTTCACATTGGCTAATACCTGCATTTGTTTCCCAGCTATTTATTTTTATACAGGCGGCTACGAGAGGTCTCCCAGAAGTTAACATTTTAAAAGGAATGTGTTGCATTATTCAATATTTCTGGATAGTCCGCACACCATTCATGTTATTGGTCTGGACACACTAGTCATTTGTTCTGTTGTGGGTTTCTAAGGTGTTAAAATTGCCCAACAAACAAAAAAGTTCCCTCTAGCGCCCAACTCTTTTATTGCACCTTGGAAATACAGCGGGGCTCCCTTATCTGTGGGATCAGTATCCACTGATTCACTTATCCACGGTCTGAAAATATTAAAAGAAAAATCCTAGAAATATCTATTTCTAAAGGTGAAGTTATCAGAACTGGCCACTTGGGGGAGGCAGAGACCATGCTATGTAGAACATTAAAATAGTGTTTGCTACAATCTGCGTAATGGTCAACAGACAGATAACCGAGTTGTCACAAGTTCGGAGTTAGGAAGCTTTGCTACTAACCGATAAAGAGATGACGGAAAAATCAAGCGAGGTAACTAATAGAAAACCATTTACTCTTTAAATAACTTCGGTTAGCCTATCCTAACCAGAAATTGCAAAATGGGACTAGCTTGAATGACTTGTGGCATGTTTGAGATGAGGAGATGGCAAAGAAGGAAGGGGACTAAGAAAAAATAAAAGATCCGTTGTTTCTCGAGGGAAAGTGTTTGTTGGAAGAACTCCGAAAGACGTACCTCAAGTGTCGCTATGGAGGCTTCGCTGTTATGGGATTCCAGGACTGTGCGGCCTGTAGACAGAAAATGCTCCCATCTGCCAAGGGAAGGAAACCCACCCCATCTCTGGGAGAAGGCAGGGCCTGGAGAAAGGGCGCCAGCTCGGAAACGGAGGCTGGGCGGCTGCGCCAGGTAAGGTGGATGTCAAGAGATCTGTTTCAGAAGTTTTTCCCCCCGCAGAACCTGCAGGTTGTCTTAAGACACGATGGTTCACATGTTCAGCTGTACCTTAAGAGCTGAGTCACTGGCACATGAATAATTCAAGCCAGTAAGTGAATCGCTCGCCGGCCAACTCCTGGCGTGGCTCCAGCGCCTTGGAAACACCCCGGCGACAGCAGCTGCAGAGGTAGCACGCTGCGCCGGAGGGGAAAAAATCACTAGAAATGCGAGTTATGCTTCAAAAAGGAACAAAATGATCTCCTTAGTCACAGGTAATATATCCTTTGGTTACTGGGGAAAGGAACTGATTACAAGTAACTTGTTACTTGTAATCAAGAGTTATTCCCAAAACGACTGCCCACACAGCGTCCTCTTAGGGAAAGGAGGAACACCAAGAAATTCAGAGGAAAGGATCTGATGGTTTTAGATCCTCTACGAGACAACGTACAATTTTGTAATGCGGCTCAGACTTTATTCTCTGAGAGTTCGCGCCCTCCAGTTGTTAGGTATAGGTAGGCAACTTCTTAAAAACACCACAAAATCTATCATCTAAAATTACACCCAGCCTTGCCTGGCTCTTTCCAGTTTTCCACTAATAAAGTAGTAGTAAATTCCACCCAGGATCAAGATGATTCAGTTAATAGCTGGATTTTGTGTTTAAAAAAAAAAAAAAGTGGGTGACGGAAGTGACTGAACCCTTTCTGCTTTTCTTGCGCTTCCAACACCTCAGGGTTATTTCGGGTAAAATCTAAAACCATCTGATCTCCTGAATGAGCCTCGTTTGAATGTTTGCAAAAGCCCTTCTCCATTTGTGGCTTCACAATCAAAGCAATTTCCTCCTCTTCCCTCAGCCTGCTTTTTGCAACATCTTCCATGAGATTTCACGATCTCACAGCCTTGAAACCACTTCCACGCCCTCTTGGTCGGCCTACCATAATACGACATTAAAGAAGAAAATTATCTACCATATAACAGATGCCATTTAAGATTCAGACTCCCCTACGTTCTTTATCTTTCTGTGTTTGCTACAGAAAGCATCCTAAGTATTCAGGGAATGCTTAAGCGATATGTGCTCTGTAGGGGCCGAGGTTTGAAACATCCACATTCAAATCCTCTGTGAGCTCACAGGAAGGAAAGGAAGATGTAAATGTAACTTACACAATGAATAAATACCTACTGGAACTGCTGAAAAGTAGAGAGCAGCTTCCCATATTCCTGAAAAATAACATTCTCGTTACGAAGCATAATGAGGGCGAGACTCTTCAAACCACGTTAAGTGAGTGATGGTAGCTCCCTCCCTCCCTTTCTCATACATAGCTGATCACACAACAGCTACACAACCAAGAAATCTCCTTCACAAGCTTGACACAAAAGAGGGAAAGGCTTATGTGAAATGTAGGAAGCACGGTGCCCGAGATCTTTCCACCCTGCCACTCGCCTCCAGAATTGCAAAGAAGAAAAATACGGTCACAACAGCTTGAATTTGTTTTGCTTATTTTTCCTTTAAAAATGCAAACGCGCTTCCATTTATTTACACCGAGCTTATTATACAGTAGCAGCAAACAGGAGTTTCCCCCACATACTCATGGGTGGTACAGCCGTTCTTTTTCCTTCTGGTGAAAAGAAGACAAATATCGCCATCTCCTCGGATCAAGATCCACCAGGCAGATTCCCCGGAAGCTGGACTGCGGCCGGAAAGCGGCACGCAGAGAGGCGCAGGGCGACCGCGGATCTGAGAGCCAACCTCGCTCTTTGGTTTTGCGGCCGCTGCTCTGGGGGTTGGGGAAGACGAGGAAATGAGACAGACTCTTTGCCCGCAAAGAGGAAGGAAACCGCTTTCAAAAAGTGTATTGGGGGGGAAGGGGGAAGGGAAGACCCCCGGCTGCTCCAGATCTGATCCAAGGTTTTTCACAAGGCACCTGCAGAAGTCGGGAAGTGAGCAAAAGGAAAGAAAAGAAAAACAGCCACTACTCGGAAGTGCTTGTTAAGACTCCTGTTAAGAGAGAAAGGCATATTGAGTTAAAGTGCGGTGTTGGTCTGTCTTTTCTTTTTTTATTTAAAGCATATATATTTAAAGAGAGAAAGCAGTATTTCTCTAATATCAAAAAAAGGAGCAAATGTGGGGCCAAGAAAAAAGCCATACCCCATCTGCCAAGTTAAATGTTAAGGCCGAAGCGGGTGGGGTGCCAGCCACGGGTCCCTTGCACTCACCTGGTAAATGTTCCGTGAGCGCATCAGGGCACCGGTCAACCACGCGGGAACCTGGTGTGCAAGCAGGGCTTTACAGGGGGGTGAGTGATTTTGCCGTAGCTGGCACCGCACCCGGCCCGGCCGTACAAATACACTTCTTTCGGCTGTACAGCTAGCTCCACGTTGCTCCTAACATTCGCCACCGTTGAGTGGTTTGGTTCAGAGAGGTTGCTTGCGCCAGGAATATCTGTCAGACGGTTGGGGATAAAAAAACATTCCAGGAGGTGACCTTTCGGGCAGGAACGGGCATTGAGACCCACAGGAAGAATTGGGGGGGAGACCCTGAACGATGATAAAAAAAGGGCCTCGCAGGTCCAGACGGGGGCGTGGGGCTAGTGGGTCGTCCGCCGTCGTTTGGCGTCAATGGGAGCGGGGCCCTCCTGCAGCATCTCCGCGGTCCTCCGGCGAGAGTCCCAGTCTCTGCCCAGCTTGACAGGGTTGGGATGATCCCCTCGGCCTAAAGTCTTTGTCTCGGCGGCGGCAGTGATGGGAACTCTCCAGTCGCGGTCTTGGGCGCCAGGGAACTGGGTGGGGGCGGGAAAGGCCTGAGGATGCAAACCTGGCATCAGGCTGTTGGAGGACAGCTGTGGTGAGGGGACGCTCTGACTCCTCTGAGCAGGAGGTGCATCGGGGCCCAGCGGGGACGCCGCTCCCGAAGAGCTCGGGGTGGAGACATTGCCCTTCAGGCAGGCGCTCGTTGCCATGGCGGATTCGACTCGCCTGGCAAGCCGTGGGTCTTTCGGTCTCTCTTGGGCAGGTTTGGGCTGTGCAGGAAGTAGGGGCTTATTGGAGGAGGAGGAGGAGGAAGATGATGATGACGACAACTCTGGAGGTGAGGATGATGATGATGATGACGACGACTCTGGAGGTGCAGGCAGAGGCTGCACCCTGCTGCTTCCTAGAGCACCAGCCGTGGGGTGGTGGGAATCCCGCCTGGGGACTTCACTGAGCTTGCTCCTCGGGGGGCCCGCCTGACCTTGCCCAAGTCTGTCTCTCTTAAGCTTCAAGATTTTCTGGGCGACGGCTTTATAGTTGCTGCTGGACGTCCGGAAGATGCTGCCTCTCTTCTGAGCGTCCTGAATGAGCTGGTTCCAATCCTCGTTTTCCTACAAAAGGCAGCAAACATGATTAGGACAGGAGGGGGTGGCCCTTGAATCCACAGCGGCGCTTCCCGAAACAAGAAGGGCAACGTTCACGAACAGCCTATTGAAATTCAGCCTGGTATCTCAATGCAGAGCCTTGCGGAGGCCTCTTTGGACTCTCGGAGGTAATCGGAAAAGCCAACACCACCAAGAATGGGGGGGGGCCTGTCCGGGGGGGGGGGCATCTGGGGCCAGAAACCTTCCTTTCTCAAGTACACCTTTCCCCTCTTCTACGCACCATTAACGTTTTCAGCTTCCCGACGATGAAGAGGCTGTATTTGGCTCGCGTGATGGTGACGTTCAGACGCTGGAGACTCCTCAGGAACCTGAAGCAGAGCAAAAGACATCAGTGGGTGCTGGCTGGCATGGGAGAGAGGGAGGGAGGAGACTCTGCTGATCCTCCCGGTCACTTCTTCTGCAGTGTCACTAAACTCCAGACACAGTTTACATCCCGTTATCTTGACCATCGTTTTAAGAAATGTCCAAAATACATTAAGGGAGAAACAAGTTTTCAAACGGAGGAGATGTGAAAGAAGCAGGTACCAGAATGACTAGAAAATAATTCAGGTGATTTCAGAAGTGCGACTGGAAGTATTCATTTTATTACTCGATCTCTGAACTGCAGGCCTGGAAGGGACCTTATGGGTCATCGAATCCAAAACAGACTTCCTAAGAACCTGTCACAAGGCAGATCAAAAATTCATTTATTTACGAAGCTTAGGGTACATTTCACGTGTGCGAAATCAGGCACACACAGGCGAGGGAAACACTAATTTTTTTGGAACAATGATTCCACAGATTCCACTGGCAAGACCGGCCGTGGAATTCCGACGCCCGCAGCCTTGAAAAAGCAGCCCCTCCCCTCTCACTAAAATGCCTCTGAAATATCCCAACTGGCTAGAATCTGCACACAATTGAAGAATATGCACAAATACAGTGGGGGAACCTTGTCCTTAAGAGCATCCCTAAATTCATGAAAATGTGTGTAAATGTCTACATGGGAACAAAAAATGGAAGTCTGGCAGCAGGACACACACACACAAATGGATGGGGCAGAGAATGCCAAAAACGGAGGAAGTCGATCACACCCCTAGTAATGGCTAATTTCCATACTAGTAACAACCTCACCTTGATTACAGTTGCTTTTGGAGTAAATTTAAGGCACTCTCCACACAAACGAGGCACACCCCAATGCTTTTAACACGGCAAAAATATATTTGGTAAAAAAAAAAAATCACCCAATAAGAAGAGCTGTCCAATGAAAACTGAGCAGGCTTCCCTGCTAAGCGAGGTGGCTTATCCTAGAAAGACGGCATTTCCAGCCGGTTGGCAGAGGCCTTGGAAAAGAGCGCCACAAAGTTTGGCTGAAGCAAAGAAACTTCCGGCATCTGCCAACAAGGACCACAAAGGAGGAGGAAACAAAAATCAACCTCAACAAACCGGCGCTTGTTTCACTTCTTGTCTCCTTAACCCCCCCCCTCAGTTTCAGCGGAACTAAATCCCTTCGTACGGCAAGCAGGCCAGCATGAATGTGCTTTTCCTAGCATATTAAAAAAGAGGCGAAGGGCGACGGGGCGGGAATGCCTGGGTTATTCGGAAGGCGCACAGTGACCTCTAATGGTCTGTCTCTGAGCCGGGACTGTCGGGCTGCTCCGCCGGGTGTCCTCCCCGCCCTCTCCCTCTCCCTGTCCTGGGACCTACGACCCTGAATCGTGCTGCTTGGCACCCTATGCTCTGGGGAACAGGGGCCCTCCGGGCTGGGGTGCCAGCCATGCCAAGCAGCCAGAAAATGTGGACCTGCCCACTGGCCCAGGGCAAGCCGAGGACAGAGGAAGGGGCTGGGCCATGGCTGGCAGGAGACTGTCCAAGTTGTTCGGCACTAATGGATTGTGACGGGGAAGGAATCAAAAATATCACTTGTTAAAATATCCTCAGCCCTTCGGCCCCTTTCCTCGGCACTGATTCAGAAACTGTTCTGGGAAGGAAAAGAAGCTTTTTCTCTTAGTGCCAGGGACCCACAGTCCACCCATCTCCTCATTCAACCCAGCCACCTTCATAATTTTAAGGCATTCGTAACAACGTGCCTTACAAAATGGGCTCAGATGGCTGATGGCTGCTTATTTTAATTATCATTCCATTTAATTCCCACAGCAGGAACTTCTGCTGCTGTGCCTCGCTGGGAGCCAAGGACAAGCTGCTGAGAATCAGGGGACTGGGAAGAAAGACCGAACAAGCGAACTGGGCCTGTTTACCTTGGAGAAAAGACGAGGGAGTGGAGAGAGGAGGGACCTCGTCAAAGACCTGGTCTCTCAGATGAGGGACCAGAAGAGATTTTGGGACCTTCCGAGGGCAAAGCCCGGGCCTTCTATCGCTGGGCAACATTCAGACTAAGCCAGGCGGCATTCGCAACAGCATCCAGTTTTCGTTTCTCTCAAGCACAGCCCAACAGGTGGGAAGTCTCCCCCCCACAAGACCCCCAGGATTATTGAGAGGGTAAACTAGCTTCATTTCGCATGTTAAGACCCCAAGCCGCTTTGCTGGTACGACCCGCCAGTAGATAAATACTATTTGTTGTGATTCATGTGCAAAATGCCCTCTTTAATATTTCAAAACGGCGCCTAAATATTTTATTCATTCCAAAGGTGACTTGCAGAACAGAAAACGCGCCGTTAGCACAACTGTGACCTTTTTTTTCTCCTTCTCCAAAAAGGCCTCCCGAGCGAATGTCAAGAACTTCTTCTGGTAAGAAGGCTGTGGGCAGCCACACACCTGCCCACCAGCCTTGTGGGCGCTCGTGGGGGGGGAGAGTGGGGAGGCCCCAGCAAAAAAGGCCCCGGACACGAAGAGTACAAGGACGATGTACAACGGGCACAGGGGTCTGAAAGAGCCCGGGCTTTCGGGGAGCTGCTGGAGGTTTGAGAGGAAGGGAAACATGGCTGTCCCGGGTCTGAACACCCTCGCTCCTTCTGAGAGGAGGCGTAGACTCCTCTAGCTCCTTCCACGTCACGCCTGGCTCTCTGGGAGCGAGTCAGAATCCAAGCCCTGTTGCCCAGGCAGGAAGACGCCTGCTGTGCCGAGGAGGCTCCTCTCGTCTGCCAACGCCAGACCTGACCAGGTATATACTCCGAGCGATATCACGGCGCTCCTTGCGGCTGAGAACCAAACACCCCTCGACTGCCCCAAGCAGGGCGACTGTTCAGGTTTGGAAAAGCAAGTCCTGACCCCTCTCCAGGTGCCCCCCCCCAAAGCGGCGGAGAGACCTACCCGATGGAGCCTTGCGTGCTGTTTGCCCGGACGCAGGTCACGATGATGCAGTCCTTCTCACACCCCTGGAACCCATCCACCGTGTCCACTTCGCAGGCGCTAAGGAAGGGAGGAGAAGCAGCAGGGGAAGACGTTTGCAGTTCTGTCTCTTTCCAACATCCCCCCACAAAGAGGCTTCGGAGGCGCTACGTGGATCGAGAACAACACCACCGGCGGTGCTCTTGGGGCTTTGAAAAGACCCGGCCGTAGGAAAGCAGCCGGTTGGAGCTCCCTGCCAAAATAAAATCTTCCCCTCCGCTCTGGAGGAAAGTTATCTGTGAAGACCAGGAGCCAGGGCGATAACCACCAGAAGAGCTGCTGACGGCTTCACTGGGAGGATCTTGGTGGTCCCTTTTATAAAGCACTTGGTTGACACACCAGACTCTTGGGCGAATCCAGCCCTTACCATTTTAGAGACGGCTTTGTCCCCTGAGGGGAAGATCTCAGCTCTTAAGGGTCACCTCCTTCCTCTTTTCAGTCCTCACAACCTGCCAGGGCCGAGCCCTGATCGTACAGGAAGGAAATTTTTAAAAAATGCTACCCCATCTGCCTGCTTGACATAAGCACAAAAGCATGGCTCATAAGCAACCAAGCTGAGCGAGGTTTGCAACAAACTTAATGGGACCGGCATCCTGCTGGGGGATAAATCCGGGGACCCAATTAGGGGGATTTTATCCCATTCACAGCTCAGAGATTCTTACCTATTTTCTCCAAACTCTTTATCCAGCTGATTCTGGATTCTCCTTTTCTGAGCGCTGTATGGGGTGATGATTCCGATGTGGCTAAATTTGACGCCACTTCTCGCTGCCGTAATTAACTTGATTAATTCTATTACCAGCTTCACTTCCTGGGGATTAGCGTAGGAACTGGGCAGGAGGAAAGAGAAGGGAAAAACAAAGGCAAGGGAGTGGCGAAGAGAAGAGGAGGGAAAAAGAGGTGGATTTGAGCAATCCGTCGCCTTAGACTGAGCTTCGGATTCAAAAGGGGAACAAAACCACTTCGGATGGTTTAGGGACGAGAAAGGTGATTATAAAAACCCCCAAGAGTCTCCACGCGCTGAAGCACAAGGAGGGGCGATCCATGGCAACGCCTAAGGTTCCACCAGGGGCTCAGAAAACCTGCTGTCCAGACTCGAGGCATCTTACATTTCAAATTGGGACTGAGCAGGAGTTGTTGCTGCCGCCCCCAACAGGCCAACGATGACATTTCCCCAAAAAGGGAAAGGAACTCACTTGTTGTCTTGCTCCTCTCTGCCATCCGACACGTCGAAGAGCATGTATGGCTGGAAGGGCCACTCCAGGGAGCAACGGTTCTCTTGCGTTTTCCTGGGACATCGGGAGAAGGAAGGGTCACCCGAGGGAAGGCCGTAGGGGCAAAGAGCGTCAGACGCAGGGGCCAGAGGGGCTATCGGGGAGCCCCTCAGCTGCAGGAAAAGGGGGTTCTTTGCACCGCAGGCTTTTGATGTGTGGCCACAAAATTGAACACTAACAACATTTGATGCCTTTAATGGAGCTTAAGGCTAAGCAACCAAGGGCCTGTCCTATTAAATGAAGAAAAAAAATATACAGGAAGGTAACTCTGGGCCACAACAGCGCGTCCTAGGCCACTTGAGGATTCTAGCCGAGGATCTGTGCTTGAGTGCAATCCATCCTGTACAGGGGAGTTAAGAGTTCTTTGACCCAGACTAAATACACACACAGGGTGTATTTTTTTAAAATTACACTTCTATGCCCTTCAGTGAGCTGAAGGCTGGACATGTGGCCCTTCTCCTCTGCATTTTATCTTCACAGCAGGACCCCTGTGAGGTGGGCCAGGCCAAAAACGCGTCCCAGCTCAACTGGGATTTGAACCCCATATTTTTGTGTTTGCTTGCTTGCTTGCTTTTGAGCCCTATTCCAACCTATTGAGGTTTCTAGCGATCTAGAGCGGCAGCCCCCAAAACAGAGGGTCACCCTTTCCCGCTCCCAAACCGCCTGGCCTGGTAGGGACAGAAAAACGGCAACGCACTCATCTGTGACCACGGCTGCCTTGTAGATATATTTGGCAGGAAAGAGCCAAATATCGGGGTGCATCCGGTACTGAGTCGTCAACTGCAAGACCGGGAGCCTTTCCGCCTGGTTTTCTTGCTCCTGGAGCTTCAGGTATTGGCAGAGCCGGCCCATCAGAGACTGGTCGTAACCGCAGTCCTGAGCTTTCTGCGAGACGGGAAAGGAAAGCGGGACAGCAGAATGGGTTCAGCCGTGGGCTCATCATTGGCACGCACAGGTCTGCCACACAATAAAGTCAAGACAGAAAAGGGAAGGAAGGAAGGATTGGATGGGTGGATGGATGACGAGGACGTGCTCACCCGAGATTTCACAGTGGGAGGGAGTTGCTTGGGGTCTCCCACCAGGACGAGCTTTCTGCAGCCGTGAAGGAGAGGGATGAGCGTCTCCACCTCGCAGGTCTGCCCTGCCTTGGGAGAGGAAAGCAGCAGGTGTGAATCAAAGAAAGAGAAAGAGGGCGACTTCAACGGATCCCATGCAAGGGTCAAGAAAGGGTTTAAACTGGAACGGGGAGCATCTGGGGGAGCCTCCAGCTCGACAGACGCAAGCAGAGGATAAAGGCTGTTTCCACCATCCAAGAGCCCCCCCGATCATCCTCATCCCAGCGTTTCACTCACCTCGTCCACAATTACACAGCTCACGGGGTCACCCCCCAGCCTCAGGAAAGCGGATTCGAGGAGCTTCCCGCCGCTGGTGCTCAGCGTGCAGCAAATGATGTGAGACTTCAAGATGATGCTGGCCCTCAGTTCCTGAGATCCCCCACGTGCCTTGGGAGACAAACGTGAGGACAGCTTTTTAAAACAGCCTGTTTATTTCTTTCTTATTTATTTAATTTATACCCCGCCTATCTGGTGGATATGGCCACTCTAGGCGGCTTCTGGCCTGAACTAGCCGTTAAGACCAGCTAGCTTTCTCTGAGCAAGCAAAACAAGTCTGGTCAAGGGGAGGGGGTGCAATTCCAAAGGGGAGAACCTCATACCTGCTTCAGCTCAGAAGCGAGGCACTGCCTCTCCTTCATCAACTGGCTAATTTTTTCATCCAACTGCTGTCTCTGAAAGAAGAAGAAACATGGCGCTGTTTTTTTAAAGGATATTCGCAACAGACATTTCGCGGGACAAAAGCCGTTATTTTCCTTCCACTGTGAACAGGCAAAGCCAGCAGGAGACGAGGCAGCACTCGTATCTGGTGCTTCTCTTCTCCTGCTGCCTTCAACTTTTCCCAGCACTAGTGTCTTTCCCAGTGAGCCTTCGTTTTCTCATAAAGTAGAATAGCCACACTTTAGTTAAGTTTGTTTTTTAGGGAGGGTTCAGGCCCGAACTGATTTACAACATGCTTGCTCGTCTTCCTGGTACCCCCTGGTGTCCACAAAGCTCTCCTCCAACACCACGATTCATTCCCCGGAGTAGGCTGCTAGTACATGTAGTCCCCCCATGTTGAAAACAGCGTACAAGAGGAAAGGACGGCTACAGGACGAATCTTCAAATAGAGACAGAGGAGAGAAATCTTGAGACCACTGAATCAGATCCCTGGGAACCAGGCACCATTTTTCTCCAGCTCCTGCAAACAAACTCTGGAATCCATCAGTAGATCCCAGCCCACCTTTCGGTCAGCTCCAAGGATAAACGCCTATCCGCTGAGAACTACCTTTTCTCTCTTCTCGTTCCTGTCCATGGCACGCTGGCGAGACAGCATGTCTAGCTGTTGATCTAAGTCTTCTTTTCTCCTCTGGAGGTCTTGGTTTCTCCCCAGTGCGGCCTTGTCTAGAAAACCAAAGAGAACGCTCCTATTCAGCCACGTACCGCATTCCTTTCACAATGTTATCCAAACCGGCTGACACAGAATGCATGGCACGTTATTTATTTATTAGTTGTACGCGTGTCTAACTATCCACGACAACACACCGGCTCTATGTGCAGTATACGTTGAAGAATCATTATATAGACAGACTTTGGATAGGACCACTTGCTTCCTTGCTGACTGCCCAGTCTACTTAAAAGAGTACTTCTGAATAAGCTTGAGAAGTTTGATACATTGGTCATTCCTGATACCACGACTGCTGGGAAAAATAAAAATAAATAGGATGTTTTACGTTTTCCTCACTCCTATATTGATTCAGAAAGGAGGAGCGCTAGGGTGCAATTCTTATTCTGATAAGCAATATGTTAATAGACCAAGACATCAGTGTCTGAAGCACCTTACGAAGGGTGAGCCAGAACTAACATTTGGGGGAAAGGAGCTTCTGACGGCAGCTGAGGAGCCCGGTCTGGGCTTGGTAGGAGACAGGCTCCCCAAGCATTTCACGCAGAAGCTCTAAACTCCTCTTCACGAGGTGGCTAGACCTTCTCTGATGTGCAGTACGACAGGAATGATGGAATAACGCCACCAAGTGTGGCTTCGCCTCTTCGGCTGTGATCTCTGCTTCTTAAGTTTTGTCCCAGAAAGGAAAGAGACAGACTGGGGCGATTAAGAACTGACTGCCCCCCCTGGTTCCTCAATGAAATCGCTCACGGAGAAAAATTGTTCCAAGCTACTCACTTATCCTGTTGACCTGATCATCTAAACTGAATTGCAAGACCTTCTTGTTGATTGATTTTTGCTGCCCCAGCCTCACCAGGTTGATCTCGCCGCAGTTCCCTGGATGAAAAGAGGGACTGTAAGAAACTTGTAAATCACACACCTCTCTTTTTTGGGGAGGTGGAGCAAAATGATATTTTTTTCTTTTATGAGCAACACCTAGACTAAAAGAGACAGTTCATTTCAACACATAAAGGGGGGGGGAGCAAGAACTGGTCCATACCCGAAATCTTTTTTTTGTCTGGGCACTTTCCCTTGAACTCAAGGATAATTTTTTTCATCAGATCATCGACAGCTGTATTGGAAGGTGCGCAAACCAACACCCGGTTGCTCTTGATCTTAGCATTTAGGCTCTGAACTCGGTTCTCCTTCCCAGATGTCTGGAAATGAAAGAAGAGGAGGAAGAAAAAGAGGTTGGGCGGTCCAGATTTTCAGGAGGAGGGGAGTCCTCACATGGATGCGAAGGCTCTCTTCAATATTCAAGAGCTGCCCCTTCCCCTCCTTTTCACATTACCCCCCAGGGCACCTTGAGTGGAAACCTAGACATAAAAAATCTGGGAGGATTTATATACCACCCCATTAAGGCCATGCAGTATTCCACTTGGTTGACTACACACAACGAAAATCACGAAGACAGAGCCACAGAATCATAAAAGGGAGGACAGAAGGCCTGGCCTACCTCACTAAACAGGCGGTACAGGAGCCCAACGATGGTCTTAGATTTTCCCGTCCCCGGTGGTCCATGGATCAGACAAATTTTGGGCTTTGTGGGTTCCTGCGTGATCATAGCATAGGCCGTTTCAATGGCTCTCCTTTGGTCCTCGTTCAAGTCATTCGTGCAAGAGGGCTGGAATGGGGTCGGGGGGGAGAAGAGGGGGAGAATAAAGCAGTGTTCATCACACGAATGTTCAAGGGAGTTCGTAAGATCTCTGGGGATCTTTTCTAGCTTCAGGCCTGAGAGACAGAAGCTGGTCTTACATTCAGATCCTTAGCCAGTTTAAAGAGAAATGAGAAAGAAATCTAGGCCATGTTTCAGGGCTTTTTCTTACAGAACTCTCGGCGTCCACGTTTAAATCCCTCGGACAAAAGTCACGGTAACTCGGGCTGATGATGGCTCTGGCGAGACACCTTCGGTGCAAGGTGAGCAGGGCAGTGAACCTTCGCTGGGTCGTCACCAAAGAGCTGGCCACCACGCATCGGACTTCCTTATGGACGTGGGATAAATTTCCTTGCGTTTGGATGGACAAGTGACAGAGAGCTTGCTGCTCTTTGCTCTCTGTTGATGGAAAAAACATCAACACACAAGACACATAAACGTACTGGGGCTCAGTTCAGATATCACACTTCATCCGTATTCATAGTTTGGAGCTCAAATTAAGAGTGGACATTCTTGATGCGTATGGTCCGGGGTGGTTTCCTTGCTCCTGGTGGCTTTATGTACCTGCATGGCAGGTGTGGGGGGGAGTTTTGGGAGTTGCAGTCCAGCCGCGCCAACCTGCACACCTCCCACAGTGACTATATTTGGACATCTCATTGATGGGTGAGATGCAAGAGGGGTGAGATTGACCAACGCAGCTTGCAAGGCACAATAACAATCTTGGGCTTTAGGAGAGAGGAGAGGAGGAGAAGCCTGGTGGTTTCTGGGACGAAACCAAGCCGCGATGCAGAGACAGCTGCTGATCCAAACCACCCCTACCCACCCCGAGCTGCAGGGTTCCCCGGCCGGCTGAGAGGGAAATCTTCGGAGAAGGGCTTTCAAAATTCTTACTAGAATCATGGATCGAAGGCAGAGAAAACCGCGTCACAAGGCCGACGTGGCAGGCCAACTCGTTTTCCGCCTTGCTTTCCTCAGAGTAGGACTGTTGCTCTGACACTTTTAAGAACACCAGATCGTGCTCTTTGGGGTGCAGCTGCTCCTCCAGGTCGCTCTTCGAAAAGTTTGCTGGAGAAAGAATTCGAAAGCAAAAGGAAAACAAAACCAACCCGTAAGCAGGCTGTCCGCACGCGGATAAAGCTATAAAATCACAAGCTCTTTTGAAAGGGGGAACGACTCTTTAGCATTTTACACCATTTTGTTGTTGTTGTTGTTAAAAGTGTGGCTATGCAGCATTTCAAAGAATTCAAAAGTGACACTGGTACACTTCTACAGGGGCTCCTGCGTGTCTTAGGGCTGACCCTCAAACCTTTTGCCACAGAGAAGTAACATTTAGACATGACATTAAAGACCATGGCTGGTTAGCTAGTTGGTTGGTTTCCTGATTCTGACCCCTTTCCTGATTCTAGCAATGGCACAGTTAACTTTGGAGTTCCAGCGCTCACATGCCTTATTGCCTGAGGACAGGAGCGCACAAGGACTGAAGAGGAAGAAACGCATCCCACAGCCGCTTCCATCCGTGGGTCTCCCCGTCAGCGTAGGCACAAAAGCTACCAGAAAAAGCTGCCGTTATATTGTTCATCGTAGACAAAGGCGAAGGATTTACGGTAATTTTTTTAAAAAACCCCAAACATCTGGAGTTCCACCTGATCTGCAGTCCTGGCTAACATAATGCAACCCTCTCACCTACAAAATCGGCTTTGTTCAAGTCCGCGCTGTAGTTCAGCAAATGCAAACGGAAGGGCTTTTGCTCTCTGGATTTCTGGTTTTCGAGCCACTCCTGGCCCACCTGCAAGGGGGGGGGAGTAAAGACTGGATTTAACACTGGACAGTAAACGTGGCCCACCCACTCCTGCAAACCATCTGCCATACCTGCACAATTGGAGAGGAAAGCTTTCCCCTTTTTGACTACCTTTTCCATCTCATTTTTCATCTACGGTCCCTCAAAAGCGCTCACGGCATTAATAAAAGACAACCAGCGTATTTATAAGCCATACACTTCAAAAAAGCAGTCTTCACCTTCTCTCTGTATTCCCTGACCCCTCTTAAAACACTGTTATCAGGTAATCCAGATCTCATTTCAAATTAAAGAGGCCACAGCTTATCCAAGTACATTGCATAAGGCTAGCAAGCGTCAGGCTGCTACAGTCATCTTGAACAGAGTGGCCCGGACGTCTAAATCCATTGATTCTAGGGGCAACCTGGATTATCTGGAAACCACTTACCTCTTCAAAGGCATTTAGCATGGTTAAAGGAAAGAAAGTATTGAAGTAATCGTTGTAATCTCGAAACTGGACGGGAACACGGCCCACGATCTTTTGGTGGAGATGGTCTGGGGTTCCCAACTGGCTGAAGTTTGCAAACATGTCGTAGCTCCACTTGAGAACCTCTTTGATGAAAACGTTGTGATCTCTGTGCTGGGCGTTCATGCCACTCGGCTGCGCTTCCGGCCTGGAACCCCCTCCGGAGACAGCCGGCAGCATCCTGCCGTCACGGCCTCCGTGGCCGTTCGCCCGACCGGCTGGCTGGGAGATGGGGTTCATGTTCCGGGGCCGAAGACCACCGGTTGAGGTCACGGGCCTGGGCTTCACGCTCTCCAAGGCTAGGCGAGGCCTAATGGCGTTCGACCGGCTCTTCAAAGCTGCTGGGGGCTTCGGCCCATCCTCCAAGTCCTTCGTGAGGTTGGCGCTCCGCGAAGAAGCGGAGCTGAAGATTTTCGCCGTGGACGGTTTCGCGGGCGGGAAAGGCTTGGCGAAGACGTGGCCCAAGGGGTCCGAGGTAGAATCATTCCCGCAGGACGCCCCTGCTCTGTCAGCACAACCCGCGTCCTTGCGCATCTCCGTCGAATCCTGAAAGGGGCTCTGGGGGAGGCTGACGTCTGTGTCTGCGGAACTGGGGCCAGCTTCCACCTGCGAGCACAGCTCCATGTCTACTGGGTCCCGTTGCGTTAAAAACAAGCTGTCCTCGTCAGCAGTGGGGTTCTCACTTAATTTGGACGGGCCCTCTTTTGAAGCCACGTTCTCAATGCAAAGGCTAGCGGAGCAGCCAAGGGAAGTCCTGGGACCTGTAGGATTGCCTCCGGTCACAGAAGAAGAGGAACTGCTTGGAAGAGTCGTGGTATTTTCTTGGACAGAACTAACAGATCCTTGCCCGGTCAACGGGAATTCTTTCCTGGAGGAATCAGAAGTGGACTGGGCTCTCTCTCCTCCTACCGAACTCTGCTTTATTAGCTTCCGTTCACTGCTAGTTGAATGACTAGAGACAGGGGTCTTCTCTTTCTGGTTCTGAGCCGCCACCAAACTAGCAGACTTTAAACATGGATTCAGGCCTGGCTTCTTGGTGATTTTCGCAACCTGAATCGCACCATCTCCTCTGCTTTGGCACTGACCCTTCTCTCTTTCCTTGTGCTTCTTCTGGCTGAAGAAGTGGCGCTCCCGGGAGGACAACATCTTCCTGTTTCTCCCAACCAGAGGGGGAGCTTGTATTAATTTTGTCCTCCTTTGCTGGGGAAGCTCGCCGGCCGTTTTCCCGTAGGCACGCAATTTCGTAATGCTGTCCTGAGTGCGTTGAGACAGTTCGGCCGCTCTGCGGATCTTCTTCTTCAGGAAGAGCTTCTCTGTCACTAACGTCGGCTCGGGAAACTTGTGAACCTTCCTGGGCGGGACGACCGCAGGGGTGGATCTGAATGGTTTTGTCAGCGGAGATTTCTCATTGCGTACTGCTGGGTTGAGATTTCTTCTCCTAGGGCTTCTGTTCGCTGTTTTGGCCCGCGGGGAATCTGCCAAGCTCTTCCCTGGCTTCATCTTGAATTTACTGAGATCAGGCCTTAACTCACAAGAAGCAGCTGAGGCAGAAGTACTTGGGACAACTGGAACTGTATGTCTAGAACATCCCACGTCGTCCGCCTGCTTCGGCGGGAAAGAGCTGGGGTGACCTGCACCGTTTCCTTCCCTGCTGCTCCCTTCTCCCGCTGCAACGTGAAGCTTTCGTTCCAGATGGCTTTCGCTCACCTGCAGCTCTAAATCCTCTGCTGCTTTCTCGGTGACATCCTCCCCAAGATAATCTGTCTCATAACCCCAGTCATTGATCTGCTGTGCAATCTCCAGATCACCCACCTCGGGGGAGCGGCTGGCCTCCCCCTGAGGGCCCTCGTCCTCTGCCTTCTCCTCAATCTGGCTATCTTGCCAAGCCGAGTAAATGTCCTCTTCGGTTTCAAACTCAAAACACTGAGATTCCAAATCTTCGTAGAGCGATGGTGAACGAGACGCCGTTGCGGCCGACTCTGGCCCCCGGGCACTGTGCTGCTTCTCAAGGCATGGGACCCTTCCCTCTTCCTTACCCTCCCTGCCAATGTTCACCTTGTTTTCATCTTCATCCGAAGAAGTGTCGGAAATAATAATGACTTGGTTTCGAGGTTCGTCTGTGTCAAGCAAGGGCTTACTCTTGGTCTCGCTGTCGGACAAAGACTTGACTGCGCCTTGAACTTTTCTCTTAATGGGGTTCTGGTGACGAGGGGTGTCTTCTTGGCTTGAATCAACTGGAAAACTGGTTGCTTTGGCGTGGGCAGCCAGGGACAATTTATTGAGGTCTCTGTCTATCTGAGAATCTGTCCCTGGGCTAGCGACTGCGGAGGCCAATTTCTTCTTGACCAGGTCCTGCCTGATCTGTGAAAGGGGAACATGGGCCATCTCATCCTCGCTGCTGTCCTCTTCCAAATTTTGCTGCACTTTCAGCGTATGCTTAAATTCCACCAGACTGTCCTTTGATTCCCTTTTTATGGAGAGCGGTTTGCCATGAAGAGGATGAGTGGAGTTCACCCCCAGTTTGTCGGGTGTGCTACTATAACCTGCGATAAGGTTGCCCCTCTGCCCCTCCTGATCCTTACTTCCCTCCTCAATGGACTGCAGCGGGCGGTTCTCTCTCTTCTTGTTTTCTACGAACTGTTTTAATTTCAAGGTTAAGTCGAATTTCGTTGGTTTGAGGTTCTCCCTAAGCTTAACAAGAGCCATCTTTGTCTCTGAAATGCCGTTCTTTTCCACCAGACACCCGGACGCTCTCGGTCTCTTGTCCTCCCCACTGCCATCTTTACTTTCTTGGCCTTGGAAGCCTTGGTGGAAGCTGTCATTACGTGTGGAATCCCTCCGCCCTTGGTGACAGCTTCCACATTTCTGGGCCTCCGTGTGTCCCTTTTCTCGTAAGGAGGTCACGTTATCTTGCTGCAGAATCTCTTCAGGTTCTTGTTTAATGTTTGTCAAATAACACCCGGAGGTTTCGTGAAGGTTTGGCTCCTTAGGAGACACCTCCGTGTCCAAGCTGCAGCGTCTTCCGGATGGTGAGTCTTCTGGATACCCATCATAATTCCCTCTCGGAGACAAATATGATGGGAGCTTACCGTGTGAGCTCACTGGATATCTATCATCTTGGTTTTCTTGCTTGATTGTGAAAGCAGGCGGAGCTACGCAAGCAACGGTGTTCTCCGTATGGGAAGGTGGATTGGAGGGTTTGTTCTGGATGTTTCTTATGATGTGCTTCAGACATGCTTGCAACTCTTGCGCCTCTTGAGGGCTCAGATTCCAGTCCTCGCGAGTGCGGCGAAGCATGTTGAGCTGGTCGAGGAACTGGGTCCTATCCTGACCCATTTGGTAGCCTTCCCTTAGGATGCTCCTGATCAGATTCATGCAAGCCCACTGTACCGATTCAGATTCCCAAGAAGATACAGCGGATGCATTTCTTGAGCCGTTTCTGGCCAGCCCCCTCTCAACGCCACGTGTGAACACCGTACTTGGGAGCCTGGCGCACTTCACCACCGCCTCCACCCACGTTTCTGAGCTGACCCACAGCGAATTCAGGCAATGCTTCTTCAGGTTGAGCTCGACCACGGTCACCAGAATCCAGATGAAAAACTCCGAAACTTTGTCACACGACAGCACGGCCCCGTCGAGAACTTCTTTGATTTCCGAACACAGGTGGTGAATGACAACCACACTGTAGGCAACGCCCAGGTCCTTGAGGTCCATGAGGGAGTGAACGAAGGGGATGTACCACAGGAAGGTGCTGTTGTGGAGCTGCATGTCCCGACCGATGTCGTACTGAAACATGTCCGTCAGCGTCTGCATGTCATCGTACAAGCTGGGGCAGTAATCGGGACAAACAGCGGACTTCCGTCCGGTATCCTGAAATCAAAATTCAAAACGGTGACTAATTATAATCACCACATGTCATTTCAACAATCATCTTAGAACTGTAGGGCTGGAAGGGACCCTGTAGATCATCCAGGTTTCACATCATCATCATCTGATGACTGCCCCTGTCAAGGAGGCCCGGTGGGGGGAATCAAACTCCCATCTTTAAAGAAACCCATCTTTAAAGGGAAAACATATCTGCCCTAGAAACCACATGTCATTTCAATTCTTTTGTTAAACTGGACACTGAAAATAGGCTGACTTCTTTCAAAGATGCAGGGAAACAAGAAGCCATATTTCTGGAAGTTACCTTGCTCGGCCTTTCCAGGTGGCAGTTGTAGACAATCTGGCTGCAGGTAATCATGTCATCTCCATAGTCAGACAGAGGCTCCGATTTTGTCCTTCAAAATTAGGAAGACAGGCAAGATTTTAAACCATGAACAGCAAAAAGCTCTTATTCTTACAACTCTCTTGAAATTAACGTGAAAGAACCCTAGTAAGGACGAAGATGTTCCATGGGATGAAGTGGGCTGCAGGCTGAACATACTAAGTGAATCTTCTTGAGGTTTAAGTAGAGCTGTGAGCTACAAAGGGCAACACAACAACGGGCTTGAACCAAGATTTTTATTTATTTATTTTTATTCATGAAGAAGGACTGACCTTCTGCAACTCTGGCGAATGTTCTCTATCTCTTTCTTATAGCTCTCGTTGTTGATAATGGTTTGAAAAGCCTGGATTGGGTCGATGAGGTGACCCCACACTTTGGATCCCACCTTATCCAAGATCACCATGAAACAGTGGAGCGCCGGCCAGAAAGGGTCACGCCGGTCATCTGGAAAAGAAAAAAACAATCCAAAGCACATCCGGATGAGAAACTAAAAAAGGACTTTCAAAAGTTCTCTGAGAGATGATTAGCAATATATAAATTGAACAGCTGCACACAAATACACAATCTCCTGCTGTCTAAACGAACCAGGCAGCCTAATGAACTAGAGATTAACTTGGTTAAGTACCCCCTTTCTGTGAACGGCTACTTCTCGTGAACCACAGAGGACTGGGCTCAGCATGCACAAAGCTTACTAGCCATCATCTCTGGCTTCATTCGTGGTGATGCCACAGATACAGGAGAGACTCCAGACTGCCACGCATCCTCAACCAGCATGACACATTGGCAGGGATTACGGAAATTGAGTTCTGAACATTTGGTCTTGCCTATCCCTGCTCTGGATCGTGCTGCAGAATTTCTCGCAATAAATCAGGAGTTTAACAGCCCCAATGCAAGGACTTCAGAAACAACTTGTCAAGAAAGGTAAATCTTTTCCAGGATTATGCTATCAGATCATTTATTCAGCTTATAAATTCTGTTAAAATGATGTCACACACACCCCCAGAGAGTGGATGCTCGATCTATTTTTAATTTGCTTTTTTCACCACTGCCCTCAGTGCTTATTAATTAGTTACCATCTGTCTGCTTCTTCATGGTGTTCATGATGGACTGCATGAAGTCGTTCTGTTTGTTTGGTCCAAGTAGCAAGGAATCCAATGCGCGCTCCTCCAGCACCATCAGCAACATGCAGATCCCTGCCATGAACACAAACCGATTTTAACCGTTACAGTCAAGACGGCGGCATCCATCCAGAACCGTCGCTCACGTGACCCAAAACATTACCCCCCGCATGGAACAGCGTCCAACCTCCATTCCTCTTGCGGGCTTCATGAGAGACACGAAGCCCGCAAGAGGTCATGAGACCTAACTTTCCATCGCCCCCAGCTAGTGGGCGGGCTCCACAGCAGTGGATTGTGGGAACTCGGCTTTATTTCTATCGAGAGGGTCAGCTGTAACCTGCGTCTGCTGTGGTTTGTAAGCTGCCCTGAAGCCTTCATGCTACAGATGGATGTTCCATAGACACGATGATAGGATAGACAACAATTTAGTGTTATTGTTTCTGCTTTGAGAGATCAATTATGTCTACCCCTTCGGAATTCTACCCAGAATTTCATACATATCGCAAGCCTATGAGGTCATTTAGGTTGAGACCAGGTGCCTGGTCAACGGGGCCCTCCCATAAGCTCAGTATTATCTGAGTGAAGGATGCCTCTTTGCTATCTTTAAGTAAACAGTGATGAAGCAACTCATAAGGTGCTTTTTCTTTTTCACAAAGACTCCTCCCCCCACGTTCTCAGCTTCTAGTCAAGCATTCAACCCACTACACCAAGGGTGAACAACACGTAGCGCTTCAACTCCCACCCATCCTACACCACGTAGCCAAGCCAGCCAGTCGTGACATAGGACGGGAGCTGGAAGTCTAACGATACCTGGAAGGACACCGACAGCCTGACCCCGGGCAACATCACGCTGGCTTTACCCTTGGAGCAAGTCAAGCTGAAGTCCTCGTAGACCTCAGACCGTCTCGACTTGCCTCTCAACTCACCCAGCCAGTAGTTTTTGTAGTTGGTGGTGTCATACAGATGGGAAGGCAGCAGGATAAGTTTCCCCTTTTCAAATACGGAAGAGTTGTAAATGTCGGGGTTTTCAAAGAGTCCCAGCTCTATGACTTTCAACAAGCAAGTCAGGACTTCTTGGATGTCGTAGTAATCGTCTCGGTCCACCTTCCCCAAGTTCCGGGCCGTGAGGATGGCCCATCGTCGGATCTGAGAGTTTGAAAGGACAAGAGAAAAGGTCAGCACAAGAAATCACTCAACGCACGCAGGAGAATATCAAACCGCTGTAACAGCGTAATGTAGTTATGCCAGAATTTGTGTCTCACATTTGAGCAAGGGGAACCGGCGGGAGAAAAGATCCACTCACCACTTCATTGGGGTGAACCATGAGGAGGTAGATCCCTGGATGTTTGCCAACCACCTGATAGGAGTAGTTGATCTGTTCCATTTTGCAAAGGGCTTCCACAAAGAGTTCACCTGCCATTCAGAAAAAAGAGAGAACCAGAAACTCATGCTGTGGGAAGAAACATTATACGAAGGAAGACGCACCAGGAGAAGGTAAGATTCATCTGATCGCACATGAGGAATTGATTCTTTCGCATCGTTTTGTTACCAGGATTTGTTACACGATACTCACTGAGGCGCTCATGGAGCAGCAGATATGGGTACTTCAGTATCTCTAGCATGGGCACCCGGACGTGCTTCTCGAACCCAGGCCCGGTGTAACAGGAAAAGGGGATTTTACTTTCTCCTTCCATAATGTAGAGGTCATCATCCTCTCCGCTCTCCTTCAAAGAGGTCTCAAAATGGGCAATGAGGCGGCCAGTTTCCAACTCCCACAGGGCCTACAATTGCAAGCAGAACCGAGTTCTAGAGAGTAAAGATCGAAATTGCCACCTTTGCCTAGAGCAAAGCAGAAAGTCTGGCGAAATGTTTGCAAATAGGAATGAACAAGAAGATAAACAGACAGGACCGGAGGCAGTTTAAAGATGGAAAGAATCTGAATATCTGTTCTGAAAGTATCACAGTAAATAAACAGGGAAGGCGTTCAAATATACGAGATAAAGAGCCATAACACGCAAAGAATAATGTATGAAATGGAAAAAGAACAGACATGTTTTCACTTATTTGTTGGCTGCATTTCTCCCAATTTCTCCAGGTGACTCACAATGTGTAAAAAAGAAAAAAAAAACAGAGTTAAAAGCCCTCTAAAGTGTGCCCTGTCTGGGTCAAACCTGCCCTCCCCCCCACAGACATAATTCAAAAGCTAATTACCTCATGTAAGGAGGGTACCTCATCCCGGGCCTTGTGGTATTCGTCCACACATTCCAGACAATAGCAGAGATCGTCATTCGCAGAATCAAACTCCGAGTTGGCAGAAGCATAGCTTTTTAAGATCTGGATGGTCGCAGAACCACCCGGCGTGCACCAACAACACGTACTCATCCTTTAGAAGAACGCGTATGCTGGGAGAGAAGAAGAAGCAAGTATTTGAAAGCACAGATCTATCCTAACCTTGAGTTCGTCGTTAACTTATGAGATCAAGCGGAGTTTTGCAACTGGAAAAGGGCTAGGCTCATATGATTTTTACAATATTTATTTAAAGCATGGGTATCCCCAGTCTTCAATTAGGAAGGTTCTTGGAGTAGCATATTTATTAGTATGAACGAGACAAACCCGTCCATGCTCAGAGACTAATGATCTAAAAAGACACAACACAAAAGGGAGGAAAAGGAGGTGGTGTGGGGAAAGCAGATCTGAGAAAACAGAAAGAACCTCAATAGCCGTCTCAATTTGCTGCAAACATATACAGGAAATCTGAAAGTGTATGAAAAGGATCAAAGATGAAAGAGCATTCAGACTTAAGTACCATGGCTCAGTTCACACCACATGCCAGAAAAACTTAAGTGTGAAATTTTCATTTTTATCGCATTTCTCACTTATTTAAACATGAAGCACTGACTGAGCCCTAAAATATCACGATGACTATACTGACTAATACAAAGGGATTTGTGGCACCTAGGTCAAGCCTTCACTTGACTGTCCAAAAATGATAAAGGAGAATACCAGCCACACGTACAGAAAAGGGATGTAACATCTGTCCTGAGAGTGTTAGAAGGCTTGTCTTCTACAATGGCAACGTCTGTACTGTATTTTCATTTTAATCCCCCTCTGAATATAACCTCTCCCAAATGGGGTCTGAATTTCCAGTCCTCGAAGCAGCGGGGGGGGGGGAAGAAAAACAGGAAATGGATGGTAATCCCAGGCAAGACCACACACTAATGAGAAAGGCTTGTGTGTGTGTGTGTGTGTGTGTGTGTGAGATATATATATATAGGAAAGGCACAATATATATATATAGGAAAGGCACAAAAGCATTTAGAGTTTATAAGGCTCTGGAACTTTAAAGTTCTAACAACAGAATCAGGGGCTAACGACAAGAAGTTTGAAAAATTTTGTGTTCAAAGGAAACAAAAATGCTTTTGCTTGTGTTTTTTTGCAAGACCACACACTAATGAGAAAGGCTTGCTTACACCAGGATTATATTATATGACAAATTTAGTGTTCAATGGAAACAAAACTGCTTTTGCTGGTTTTTTCTTCTTCCTATGGTCCCAGGACAGCTGGCTTATTACTTCCTTTTCTTTGTTCAATATATACAGAATATGATTTAGTAGATAAGGAGCCGAGCAGAGTAAACAACTGCTAGTACAACTTTATATAAAGAAGAGAGAACTTCCTTTAGCTGAAAACCTGTTTTTTCACTGGGGACCACAAAGGAAGAGAGAGCAGGCGGAGCAGCCCAGACTGCTTGCTTCCTTTACACCTCCCTTTCTGCTCTCTCCTGGAGAAGGAGGGAATCTGAGCTTTAAGTTGGCTTCCAGAGAGTGGGAGTCCGACCGAGTTGTGGCGGTAAATGCAAAAGGAGCAATCAACATCCAAGACAACCCCACACTCATCTTGCCCAGAGGCTACATTTACTGAAACAACAGCTGCTTCTCCGCCATGCCTTCAGGTTCAGCATCCTCCTTCCCGAGAAGCCCTAACGCCAATGTCTGAAAAGTACTCTGCTTGCTACGCCATTCCAAAAAGCTCCCACCAACTCACTCCAAACTTGGCATGCTGTTAAACAGGCTAGCCCAAGCAAAGCAACTGATACTATAAAAAAGAAAATGCTTAAGAGACAGAGCTCAGCTACTAACGTCTGAGGCTGAGACACTAGAGAGACCAAAAGCTGCCCTGTACGCAGAAGGAACTCTGTGGAAGGAGGACTGGCAATTATCACAATTTCTCACTATGAATGATCCAAGTTAAAATTTAAATGGAAAAGGATTTATGGGTTAGGGTAGAGAGAACTACTCAGCAACTGAGTGGAACAACAGAAAGTTTCCCCTGCAAGGCATGCATGCGGTTGTGGTAAGTAAGTAACACCTCTCTAGCAGAAAGAACGACTAAGGAGTGGTGAGTTACTGTGGGCATTTAAACATTTGTTTATATGGCAGGGAAGGACAAGGATGATGGCTCGAGGCTGTGGAGCAGAACGAAGCAAGGGAGGACTGCTTTTTGGCAGGGCCACCTCCACAATCTGCTGAATTTGCTTTTTCATCGTTTTTCTTCCTGTCCGCTCCCTTTTGCAGTACATTAACACAAGCCTTTGCCCTTTTTTCTCTTAAAAAAAACTCTGAAATATTTTAACTCTCTCCAGTTTTTACTTCTCTTGGCTAAACGCATCTGGCTTCTTCAACCCATTCTCGGAGAGAATGATTGCTGGCTTCCAACTGGTTTACATCCTTCTTAGAATGTGGCCTCCAGAACTGAAAAGAGCGCTCCAGACGAGACCTGGCTGGTTTCCTGTAGTATTGATAGATCTGTTCTCCTCCACAAGTTCATACAATTCTTTTAAAACATTATCACGGGGACTTTGTGGGTATCCCAACATCTTCTGGCAGATGGAGCCACAAACACAGAGCTGAGAAGAGATCCTTTTTTAGTACTAAAAATATATATATAATAAAATCTGGGGAAAAAAACCCTCCTATCTCTAAATACGTTCTCTGTGTATCTCGGATCTTCCAGAGTCGAGTCGATATCGGGGATTACTGAAAACAAAAAAAAAAAAAAACCTTCCCTGCATAGCTATTCCTGCAGCAGACTTAACTACCGTATTTTTTGCTCCATAAGACGCACCAAATTTTTAGAAGAAAACAGGAAAAAAATAATCTGTTTTCTTCGCTCCATAAGACGCACAGACTTTCCACCCCCCTGTTTTGTGGGGAAAAAGTGCATCTTACAGTGCGAAAAATACGGTAATAAACTTCACATCAAGTCTCTCCTCCTCTGACTTTTTTAAAAAACGAAAACCACTCAAACCTAACAGCTTTTCCTCAAGTGAAGGCTGCCCTCTTCTCATACATCTTAAGTGTCTTTTCCCACAACGCTGCAATATGATTTCTAACTCCCACTCCCTGGAGGAAACCAGAGAAAGAAAGATAAGGCGAATACACAACCGGGGTTATTCCAGACTGGCCTGTTGGAAGTGATAAGGGAGATCTCATCATCTGCATCTCCCTTGTCAATTTAGCAAGCCATCTCCCTCTCTCTGGCTGCAGATCCAGAAGCCAGGAGTTCGATTCCCCCACAGGGGCCTTCCCACAAGAGCCAGCCTGGGTGCTGTCAAGCCAGGAAAAAAAAAAAGACTTATAACCACCCTAAGAGAGTGTTCTTCAAGAAATGTGTGTGTTTGCACGTGGGTGTGCTTGCACGTGTGTGTTTGTTTATGTGTGCGCGTAGGTCTCGCTAGTGTGGCTGCCCTGTATGTGTGTGTGTGTGCGCGCCTCCATAAAAGTTGTGGGAATTCCTTTATTTATTTGTCTAAATCACGAAAACCACTCAAACCTAACAGCTTTTCCTCAAGTGAAGGCTGCCCTCTTCTCATACATCTTAAGTGTCTTTTCCCACAACTCTGCAATATGATTTCTAACTCCTACTCCCCAGAGGAAACCAGAGAAAGAAAGATAAGGCGAATACACAACGGGGGTTATTTCAGACTGGCCTGTTGGAAGTGATAAGGGAGACCTCATCATCTGCATCTCCCTTGTCAATTTAACAAGCCATGTCTCTCTCTCTGGGTTAGGTCTCTGGCTGCAGATCCAGAAGCCCGGGAGTTCGATTCCCCCACGGGGCATTCCCAGAAGAGCCAGCCGAGGTGCTATCAAGCCAGGAAAAAAAAAAACTTACAACCACCTTAAGAGAGCATTCTTCAAGAAATGTGTGTGCTTGCACGTGGGTGTTTATGGCTGTTTGCACGTGTGTGTTTGTTTATATGTGTGCGTAGGTCTCGCTTGGGTGGCTGCCCTGTATGTGTGTGGCTGCGCCTCCGTAAGTTGTGGGAATTCCTTTATTTATTTGTTTAAAACAATTCCCTCCCACCTTTCCCCTCACAAAAAAAAGAACGGGGGGGGGGAGGCCAAGGCGGTTTTTATTATTAAAATTTAAAGGAAAATATTCAACAACTAAAAACAGGGAGTATACAAATATTAAAACCACCACCGTGAAACCCGCCTTGGATGAACCTGGCAAATCCAGCCGATATTCGGAAGGCCGGGCCTCTTTCTGAGGGAACGAAGCGCCCCCGCCCCCCAATTTTACCTCACACTTCTCTACCCCCAGAACACATGTCCAAAGTCTGGAAACCACTTCCCCGCATTTACCCGCCTTCTTCTTCCTCCTCCTGAGCGTTGAGCTCCTGCCATTCAAGTGAAGGGCGACGGAAAAGGAGAGAGAGAGAGAGAAAACGAAAGAGAAGAGAGAGGGAAGGATGTGCGCATGCGCGCTCGCCTCTCAGTTGGTGCCGGAGGACATACTCGCCAAGCCTGGGACCGGAAGTGGCGCAGGCCGATCTAGGCTTCAAGCGTGGCGCGACTCGCTGCTCCGTCTTCCTGGGCGTGACGCAAAAAGGGACGGAAGCCGAGGAGGGTGGCGGAAAGGCTGGACGAGGGAGGCGGAAGAAGAACGTGGGGGAAGCGCCGGTGGAGGCGCAGCCGGGATGGTAATCATCATCATCACCACAACAACAGCTACATCGTTGGGGTGGAGCTTTCGGAGGTCCTCGCCTTAAGTGGGGGGGGGGAGATTCCAATTCCCATCATCCCCCACCCTGGCCTGTTGCCCTGGGGAGGATGGGATTTGTAGTCCGGCAGTAGGATGGGCCCCCACATGTTAATAGAGGCCATTTGCCACAGTATGCAAGCTTTTAGTTATGTTTCACTGATTTAACACAAAAAAATTGCAATTACAGGGTGTGTGGATGTTTTAGTTAAAATAATGGGGAACCCTCGATTAGGTGTCAGGATTTTTCAGATTAACTTTCCAAATAAAGTTGCTGTTTTTTTTTTCCAAATTCATTTTGCACATGTGAGCTTTCATCGCCTGCTCTCCGGTCTTTTTTCTTTTTTTAAGGAAACGACAGACCGAGTCGACGCGTCGTATACCAACAGCGTTCAAGTCTTGGATATGCCGAAGAAGAAGAAAAAGAAGAAAAAGAAAAGGAAATTGGAGGCCCTTGAGAGAGAAACGGGCCAGCCGCCTGAGGATGCCCCCCCTCTTCATTCGCCCGTTTCTTCCGATCCTCCCCCCTTAGTTTCTTGGCAAATAGATTCAGAGGAAAACCCGGTCCCTCGTAAGAAATCTAAGAAGAAGACAGCCGATAAAGAGATCTCTGACTCCCAGGATGACAGTCCTTGGATTGCACTGGAGAAAGAGCTAAATAGCGAGGTTAGAGTCGATCTTGGGCACAAGAAGAAAAAGAAGAGGAAACGTCGGTCAAGCGAACAGGACGGCGTCCGTGAAATCTGTGTCCCCGAGAATCCAGAAGTAGCCACCCATTTCCCTGAAGCGACTGATGTGGAAGTTGCCGAGCAAGGATATGAGAGCCTTCCCTTAAAGAAAAAGAAGAAGAAAAAGAAGAAGAAGAAAGCAAAAGAATTGTTAGCAGAGGAGGCAGAACGCAGCGAAATCTCGAGCCTGATGACAAACGGGAAGGCTGATTCTGCAGGGGCGCAAAACCCTAATCAGACTGACCACAGCGATGCTGAAGGCAGCATGGAGCTTTTCTCATCCCCTCTGCTACTCCCCGAAACACAGCAGGACCCTCTTTTTGAGGAAGAGGAGAGTGGGGCGCCAGGATCGGACCCTCCCGATGTGGCCAACAGCTCCGTGGCGCCAAAGAAGGCGCGTAAGCGGAAAAAGAACCGGCGCAAACCACCCCGTGCCAAGGGTTCGCGCGCTAACGAAGACGACCTTGCCGCAGAGGAGAATAACGCTCGGGATGCGTTGAGTCCGACGTTGTGTGAGGAAAACCATGGGTACATTCTTGATCCTGGAAAGGCAGGCTTGGGGAGTGGGGAATATAGAATTTATTTTTTAATCTTTGACATGGCATGATTCAGTTGTTTAAAGCAATTCTTTTACAGTGGGACCCCCTTATACACGGGATCAGTTTCCACTTATTTGATTATTCACGGTCTGAAAATATTAAAATATTAAAAGAAATATCATAGATATATCATAGAAATAAATACAGTGATACCTCGACTTATAAACGTCTCCACTTACAAATATTTCGAGTTACGAATGGCTCTGTTTGCTAAATGCTGTACTGGGGGTCCCACCTGCACTGTGATAACCATGTTCAGTGGTGCCTTGCTTGACGAGGATAATCCGTTCCAGCGAAATCACTGTAGAATGAAATCGTCATCAAGCGAAAGTAAAAAGCTCATTGAAATGCATTTAAACCCGGTTAATGCGTTCCAATGGGCGAAATACCTCAGCGTCCAGCGAAGATCCTCCATAGGGCGGCCATTTTCCGGTGCCTGTAATGCAAGGAATCCGTCCTAAAGCACAGCGGGGAGCCATTTTGCACAGC